TACACAGTGCTATGTCTTGCTGGTTTAAGCCATGGCCTATGAGAGATGAGGAGTTAAAACTCAAAGACCACAACACCAAACAGGTGCGCCTGATCTTCACATTGGAAGAAGAGCTAAAACAAAACAGACTAAGTTGTTGGCAGCAGAAATGAAAATTGGACAGATTCATGGTGTTTTAAAGATATACTCTGAAGGGCTTTAGTGGTTCATTGGATATGCATAAGAAAGAGGCAAGAGCCAATGATGATGCCTCAATTTCTAGCTCATCCAACTGATATATCATGTAAGGCACATTGGAGAACTACATTTTTTCACCCATGAAGGGAGCAGGGAGTGGGGAATCATGGAAAGGTAAGTAAGGAAGATCATGAATTCATCTATAAGACAACCTAGGGAAGAGGCTGGAGCTCAAAGAACAGACTTGGGATTAAGCATTAAATTTGGAAATGTTCAGTTTAATTGCAGCTATGGAAAAGTATCCTATACTCACCTAGGATAGAGTATAGAAGAGGGCAGAGACCAGAGCCATGAGGAACTCCCATATTTAAAAGGACTGGTAGAGTGGGATGAGCTAGCCAAGACGGAGAACAATCAGAAAGAGGAAAAAACAAGGAAAGTATAATGTCACAAAGGCAAGGGGAAAATACTACAAGATGGAGGGAGTGCTGAACTGTGCTGGATGCACAGTATTAAGATAAGGACTTTAGTGACAGAGAGAGCACTAGTTAACTTCTCAAGAGCTATGAAGTGGGTGATAGAGCCAGAAGCCAGCTGGAGAGGATAAGAGAATGAATGAAAGCAGAAGTAACAGAAAGAAATGCAGTCAACTTTTCCAAGAAGTTTGGTTACAAAGGGGAGGTAAGAAAGGGAAGGGAAAAAGGTTGAAGGAGGATAATTTTAGGATGAAAAAAACTAAGATATTTAAAGACAAATCCAGAAGAAAAAAAAAGTTGAAAATAAGAAAAAAGGATAAAAGATGACACATACATGCTTAGCACAGTATTGCTTGAATATAAATCTCAATAAATGTTAACTACTGCTATAATTATTATTATTACCATTATTATGAACTTCATTATTACCAGTTCTTTTAAATATGGGAGTTCCTCATGGCTCTGATTTTTGCCCTCTTAACTTCTATACTCCATCCTAGGTGAATATAGAATACTTTTCCATGGCTGCAATTAAACTCATACTCTTCACTGGGTTGTCTTACAGTGTCAAGGAAATTTGAAGAGCAATTCCATTTATAATAGCATCTAAAAGAGCATCTAGGAACAAGTTTAAGTAAAGAAGTAAAATACTACTAGTACACTAAAAATTAGAAGACATTGCTGAAAGAAATTAATGAAGACCTAAAAAATGGAAAGACTTCCCATGCTTGTGGATAAGAAAATTTAATATTGTCAAGATGTCAGTACTACTCGGTGCAATCTAGAGATTCAACAATCTCTATCAAAATTCCAATGGTCTTTTTTGCAGAAATGGAAAAGCCCATCCTCAAATTCACATGGAAAATTGTAGGGGCCCTAAATAGCCAAAATAATCTTGAAAAAGAAGAGCAAGGTGGAAGGACTTACTTCCCGATTTCAAGACTTAATACAAAGCTACAGTAATCAAAATAGTGTGATACTAGCATGAGGATAGACATATAGACCTATGGAATAGAACTGAGAGTCTAGTAACCATACATCTATGGCCAGTTGATTTTTTTTTTTTTTTTAATAAAAATTGGGGCCAAGCATGGTGGCTCAGGCCTGTAATCCCAACACTTTGAGAGGCCAAGACCGGAAGATCACTTGAAGCCAGGAGTTCAAGACCAGCCTGGGAAATACAGCAAGACACTCTCTACAAAAAGTAGAAAAACAAAAAATTAGCCAGGTGTGGTGGTGCACATCTGTAGTCCCAACGGCTTAGGAGGCTAAGGCAGGGGGATCACTTGAGCCCAGGAATTGGAGGCTGCAGTGGGCTATGATCATGCCACTGCACTTCAGCCTGGGTGACAGAGACCCTGTCTCAAAAAAACAAAACTGTACATATGTAAGGTATACAACATGATATTTTGATATACATAGTGAAATGATTAGTCAAGCTAACATATTTATCTGTTCACATAGTTAGCATTTGTGTGTGTGTGTGGTAAGAGTACCTGAAATCCACTCTCTTAGCAAATTTCCAGTATACAATAGTCATCATGCTGCACATTAACTCTCTAGACTTATTTATTCTACACAACTGCAACTTTGCACCACTTGACCAACATCTCCCCATTTCTATCAGCATTTCTCTATTTCCCCCTCCAAATGATTTTTGATAAGGGTGCCAAATCCATTCAGTGGAGGAAAGAACAGTCTCTTCAACAGATGGTACTGGTACAACTGGAGTTCCACATGCAAAAGAATAAATCTGGACCACTACTTCACACCGTATACAAAAACTGACCCCAAATGGACCAATGACCTAAATATAAAAGCAAAAACCATAAAACTCTTAGCAGAAAACATAGGGGTAAATCTTCTTGACCTTGGATTTAGGCAATGGATTTTTAGACATGACATCAAAAAGCACAGGCAACAAAAGAAAAAAAATAGATAAATCGGACTTCAATGAAACTAAAAATTTTTGCATATCAAAGGGTATTATCAAAGTATAAAGAAAACCTACAGAATAGGAAAAAATATTTGGAAATCATGTATCTGATAGGATTTGATGTCAAGAATATATAAAGAACTCATACAACTCAACAACAAAGACAAAGAACCAAATTAAAATGTGGACAAAGAACTTGAACAGACATTTCTCCAAAGAAGATATATGAACAGCCAATAAGCACACGAAAAGATGCTCAACATCATTAGTCATTAGGGAAATGCAAACCAAAACCACAATGAGATACAACTTCATACCTACTTGGATGACTATAATAAAAAGAAAGAAAGAAAACAGGTGTTGACAAAAGTGTAGAGAAATTAGAACATTCACACATTGCTGGTGGAAATGTAAAATGGTGCTGCTGCTTTGGAGAACAGTGGTTTCTCAAAAAGCTAAGCACAGATTTACCATATAACCCAGAAATTCTACTCCTAGGTACATACTCCTAGGTACATACCCAAAGGAATTGAAAACAGAGACTTACTTGTATGCCAGTGTTCGTTGCAACATTATTCACAATAACCAAATGGTAGAAACAACTCAAGTGTCCACTGATGGAAGAATTGATAAAGAAACTGTGGCATATCCATACAATGGAATATTATTTGGCAACAAAAGGGAATGAAGTTCTTGTACATGCTGCAATGTAGACAAACCTTGAAAATATTATCTAAGGGAAATGAGCCTGACACAGAAGGTAAAATATTATATAATTCTACTTATATGAAGTATCTAGAATAAGCAAATTCATAGAGAAAGTAGATTAGAGATTACCAGGGGCTAGGGGAAGAGGAAAATGAGGAGCTGCTATTCCATAATAGTTACAGAGTATCTGTCTAGGGTGAAGAAAATGTTTTGGAAATAAATAGTGGGGATGGTTGCACAAGATTGTGAATGTAATTAATGCCACTGAATTATACACTTAAAAATAGTTAAAATGGGCCTGGCATGGTGGCTCACGCCTGTAATCCCAGCACTTTGGGAGGCTGAGGTGGGCGAATCACCTGAGGTTGGGAGTTCAAGACCAGCCTGAACTGGTAGAGAAACCCCGTCTCTACTAAAAATACAAAATTAGCCGGGCATGGTGGCGCACGCCTGTAATCCCAACTACTCAGGAGACTGAGGCAGGAGAATCACTTGAACCTGGGAGGCAGAGGTTGCGTTGAGCCAAGATCACACAATTGCACTTCAGCTTGGGCAACAAGAGTGAAACTCCATCTCAAAAAAAAGAAAAAAAAAAAAAAGTTAAAACGGTAAAATTTATGTTATATATATTTTACTACAACTTAAAAATTAATAATAAATAATGAGTAACTTGGTTTAAATGTTTTTTAAGGTCCTTTCCATTACTGAATTCTATGATTTTTTTTTTTTTAAGGTCGGAAAATAGGTTATATCCATTGTTGAAAATCTAGGAAATCTGGGGCATACTGATAATGGGAGAGGCTAAACATGTGCAGGGACAGGGAGTATATGGCGTATCTCTGTACCTTCCTTTCAATTTTGCTGTGAACCTAAAACTGCTCTAAAAAAAATAAAACCTTAATTTTTAAAATATCTAGGAAATCTCCAATTATGTCCCACGCCTTGGGTTCAGCTTAACATTTCAACGGAACAGAGCCTGGCACATAGTGCCAGATAAGTGTCTGTTACTATGATCATCATCATCTTTTTCAAAAAAGCCCTGTGGGACAAGTAGGATTAAGGCCATTTTAGATAAGAATAAACAGAGAGGGTAAAATTTTTGAGAAATTTGAGAAAATTTACTTTCTCAATAAATCTCTCAGCCAGCAACTGAGCGAGCTACTGAGCAAGCTAGGATTTGAACCCATGATAGCCTGGCCCAAGAGCCTAGGCTGACACCACTAAGTTCCTCCCCAGCCCAATCTATTCTAGAACTGCTGTGCATACAGATCTGATCATTTTTCTGCTCACTGTGAATGAAATGGTACCACTTTACCTGGTGCTTTTTCTATGTAGCCACATAGACAATGCATATCAAAGCACTTTGAAAACAGAAAATCCTATTCAAACGGTATGTATTATTTAGAAAGTTGGCTTTATAAATGTATGTTTTTGACAGCTTCAATTAAAGTTAAGATCTTACTAAGAGAAATTACCATTGTACCTTCTTTTGTGAAGTCAAAGCCTTCAAGACAGTACTCAGAATTCAATAAATAGGTTTTACTATGTAGATGAACAAAGCTTTAAAGTGAATAAGGACAGCAGTAAAGGACAGGTCAAGGGTAGATACTTCACAAGCCAACTGAATGAAGACCATGGCTTCGTTAGCTCTGAGTCGTTTAACATTTCATATTATATTTAGCAGGAATGTATGACAATATTACTTTGATTTTTTGCTGGTCCCGCTTAATTACTGCATCCAGTTGCTTCCTTTTTTCATTTTCTTCTCGAAGTTTTCTTTGTAGCTGTATCTTTTGATACTTCATGTGATCTACACTCTGCTCTAGTTCATTAGCGCGTTTCTCATTTTGGATTGACAGTGATGCCAGTTTCTTACTATCTTGTTGCTTCTTCTGTAAGACCTGAGATCATATGGAATATTTCAAAATGAAAAACTAAATCTCTCACATTCCTCAACTAAATTTAATCTTTTCATTTGATGGTAAAGGAAGAAATTTTCCCTAGATTTTCATTTATTTTTGACAGGTTCACAAACAATCACTTACTCTCATACATTTCCATTTTTGCAATTAGGGAAACCATCATAATTTTCATCACATATGTAAAAGTATAAAGAATGATGAGACTTCCTGATATGGACAACAAACAAAATGAAACAGATGATTTGCTTTTTATTAATAAGTATTTTAATTTAAAAAATAGTGAAAACATTACAAAACTGAATTTATATTTTAAAAGAGTCACTCATATACACCCCTAATCTACCTGTCCTGATTCCCAATGCAAAATTACCAATTTCTTAAACATTCTTCCAGGAAAAAAGTATGCATATGCATGCAAATAGCTTCATATATATTCTATATAGACTACTGTCTCCCTTTTTTCCTACTTATCTCAGGGGTCTTTTCATATAGATTTGTTCTGGGTGGCTGCATAGCATTCCACTGTGCTGTTGTTTTTATGGCTACAGCTATAGCCTAAATCGTTAATCCCTGAGTTAGGATGATCAGAGCTGATAACATCTTCCCTGAGAGTGACCAACCATTATAATTACTATTTTAACATTTATCTTAAATTCCTTCTCATCTAACTAAAATTACGTATAGATAGATTAGACTTTCAAAGTGTTCACACCACTAATATAAACTACTTGTGTTACAATTTAGTCCTGACCAAACATATATTAGACTTGTATTATGTGATTAGCATTGCACTAAGTACCAATTAGGTGGTATAAAAAAGGTAAAGGGATGTCATTCATAAATTATGCAAACCACAATTAATTATTTTCTTTATCTTGGCAATAAAGTGTTAGCATAGGCAAGTTTTGTTTTAATTAAACTAAGTATCCAAGAGGCATTGCTGCTTAAAGCAGTGCTACTCAAAATGTGATCTGTTGACCAGTGCTAGTTCACATTGTTGTCAATTTGCACCCCTCAGCATACTAATAGATTCGATTGATGTTTTCATGCAAGACTTTTTTGATCAAGAAAGCTGTGCAATGATTGACATTTATCTCATCGCAGAAGAAGAACAATCTGCAGATGAACTACTTTGGGGACCACTGGCTTGGAGGCCACAGGCCTTTGCCGTTCCAGTACCTAAATCTGGACACTGGCTTTGCCACTTACAATTGACAGTAATTACAATACTGCAGCAAAAATTATAATACCAGCATTTTAGTGTCTTTTTCACATAATAATAAAAATATCAGTGTAAATCCTGAAAGTCTTAAGAGTGAGGTACTGTTGCCATTGTCTTTTGCACTTATTCTATAGTTGCTCAAAAGTGCATCTGTCAGCATTAAACTATTAATGCAGCATGTAATGCTCTACATATACCTAAAGCCATTAAAAACACAGGTTTTTGAAGTCCTTAATTTACAAATGTTGTTTTAAAAATTGAAACAACTTTTTTATACCAATAAAAATATTAGTATTTCAGTATTTTAAAACAGCATGATATGGCTGGGTGCGGTGACTCACACCTGTAAGCCCAGCACTTTTGGAGGCCGAGACAGGCAGATCACTTGAGGTCAGGAGTTTGAGACTAGCCTGGCCAACGTGGTGAAACCCGTCTCTACTAAAAATAAAAAAAATTGCGGGCGTGGTGGTGGACACCTGTAGTCCCAGCTATTTGAGAGCCTGAGGCAAGAGGATCATTTGAGTCTGGGAGGAGGCAGTTGCAGTGGGCTGAGATATATGCCAGTATGATATGTTAAGAGTACTGAAAACTGGTATTGTCATCACCACTATGGGACTCTGACTGAGTTATTTTGCCTTTCTAAACCTTTGTTTCCACATTTGTAAAATGACTAAAAATACTCACTTCAAAGGATTAAATAATGCATATAAACCATTTGGTATGTATAGGCCCTCAACAAATGGTAATTACTGTCCTCCTCATCCTCCTTATCCCCATGAGTAGCGCATGGATATGTCAAAGGTACAAAATTTCTAAAACTATGTCTTGTTTCTGTCCTCTGCTGTATCAGATGTTTCTTTTGAGGTAAAGTTCTACACTTTTCATTTCCTTTCCTTATCAGTACTCTTAGCAGAAAAGGATATACAGCCGGAAGCAAAGCATGGAAAGGTGAATTCCAAAGTGGAAATAACTATTCTGAAGGAAAATGGAAGGTGTGACATAGATAACCACCCTATGTCCTCCTTTAAGCAGTTCAAACATTCAAGTCATATTATTTTAACTTGATGTTGACTTGAGAAGCTATTTAGGTAACAACTTTTAGTGGAAATATCCAGATGTTTGAGGTGGCATTAGAAACCCCAAGAGGGACTTTTCTGGCCTGTCACACCAGAATATCCCGGTATATTACAATATACCAGGCACACCAGAGGTATATTGTAAACACCTATTTTGTTGAAAGCAAATAACTGTGGCATAGTTCAGCAATAATAATAATGCTGTGAATAGATTAATTACAACTCTACCTATAATGGAAAAATATAAATATAACATGAAAGCAGTAGATCATGAGAGGTAAAGAAATAGAGGAGGCATCCTAGAAAGTTCATTATGATCAGACTAACAAAGCACTGTGACTATCTCCAAAGCACCTGGAAATGGCTTCTTCACACAAAATCTCTATGTGATGGGATATTTCTCACAGAATAGAATGTTTAACTGTAGCTATTTCTAAACTTAAAGCTAAAACCAGGCATTAGGAAGTTAAGGATGAGTCACAGTACACAAAGTTATTAACCCTTCTTAAGCCAATCAGTTATGGTTTCAGAAAACCATATCTCGAAATAGTTCTCATTTGTTGAGTGTCTACAAAGTGTCATATATGTACCAGCTGTTTTTTTGTATTATTTAACCATTATTTAATCCTTTGTCCTTCAGGAAAAAAACACTATTTTGTGGTTATCTTTATTTCTTACCATGTGGTTTTTTGATATGAAGATTGAAAGAATATACTTCTTGAATGAAGAAATATACTACCCAGATTGTAAAATATGTAAATCGACCAGCACACTAGAAAAGTTGACACCCAGTTTCTCTTGCTGGTATAAACTGAATCCCACTTCTTTCCTAACTCAGTACAAGAACCCTCAGAAGCAAGAAAGCTTAAATAAGTTTTCTCAATTACATTTTTTAAATTACCTGAACTCTCAGCTTTGCAGCATCCATCTTTTTACGGAACTCTTTCTGTAATTTTACCTTCATTGCAACATCAGAAAGATCTTTGTTTTCCAGCTCCTGTAGCTGCTTTTGTGTTTCAGTTAGTTCGACTTTTGCCTGTTCTGCGTCATGCTCTAGCTTTGTTACTTTCAAAGAATACTGCTTGCTTACAGACTTGGCATCGTTACCTTAACCATAATAATAATAATTATTAGTATAAATTATGTAAAAAGAAGTTAAACATCAAAAACATAAAAATACTCTACTCTAAAATCCAGCCAGGCAGTGATACTATTTAAGGCATAGCATTAAAAACCCAGTTGTCCCCACCCACCCCCATCAAACACAGCTTGCCATCAGGCCTCTTAATGATTAATTCCTTAATGATTGTTTCCATCTGTGGCCAGTCTCACTGGTTCAATCTTTGGCGTTTAGAGTGACATTTCTGGTCCTCTGAATTTGTAGTTGAGCTTGCTGGCATCAAACTCAGTTAAGAAGGATATTTGGAGTGACTGTCCTCTTGCTTAGTATACTCCAGCCTCCTGCTACCAATAATCTGTCTCCTTGAATTCCTTTTTTAAATTACTATGAAAATTTTTAAATATAACAAAAGAAATAATAAAATGAATCCCCATCATCCAGATTTAAAAGTTATCAAGATTTTGTCACAGCTGCTTCAAATATGCCTTTTGTTTTACTTTGCTTATATATTATAAAGCAATCCTAGATGTCATTTCATCTAACCTATACATACTTCATTTTGTTAAATTCCTTTTACTTATACATACTGCAATCAGCATTCATACAAAATATGGACATAACCAAAAAGTCATTATCACACTAACAATATTAATACCAATCAGCCCATATTCAGACTTTCCCAATTGTCTCAAAATGTGTTTCACAATTGGTTTAATCAGGATCTAAACAAAGTCCACAATACATTTGATTGTTATATCTCTTAAGAATCTTTTCATCCAAAGCTGACTCTCCTTTTTCACTAACCTCAACTTATTCAATATTAATTCCTTTTAAATTCTTTTCTTATTAATATATAGAACAGAAAAAATAGAATATAGATATTTCTATATCTCTTTTTATTCTAAGTCCAGCTAGTGACCCTAAAAGCTTGGCTTTGATTTGCTCTGAATAGGCAACTGTCCCTGAATTAGACTGGCAAACTCGTGGCAGTAAAAAATAGGAGTCTAAAGCTCAGGGGATGAATAATCACCAGAGACAGTTAATTACACTATATATTTAGAAAGAGTCTCGCTCTGTCACCCAGGCTAGAGTGCAGTGGTGCAATCTCCTCTCACTGCCACCTCCGCCTCCTGGCTTCCAGCAATTCTCCTGCCTCAGTCTCCCAAGTAGCTGGGATTATAGGCACATGCCACCATGCCCAGCTAATTTTTGTATTTTTAGTAGAGACAGGGTTTCACCATGTTGGCCAGGCTGGTCTCGAACTCCTGATCTCAAATGATCCGCCCACCTCGGCCTCCCAAAGTGCTGGGATTACAGGTGTGAACCACTGCACCCAGCCTATTATACTATTTATATAGCTGGTTATACTGCTATCCAAAAATACTCATCATTTTTTGATAAAAGTTATTTAACTAAATGCATTGTGAACTGTCCTCTGACTCTAATTTACGATTACTTGACTAACTTTAAAATACATACAACTACTATATTTTAACAAATCATTTTGGACTATTCATTAATTGTTCAACACACCAATATTTTATGAACCACTAAAAAAATACAGTGCCAATTACAACATGTTTATTTTATTTTTTTGAGACAGGGTCTCGCTCTGTCACCTAGGCTGGAGTGCAGTGGTGCAATCATGACTCACTGCAGCCTTGACCTCTGGGGCTCAACCAGTCCTCCTACCTCAGCCTCCCAAGTAGCTGCGACTACAGGCATGTGCCACCAAGCCCAGTACGCACCTGTAGTTTTTATAAATTTTTTTTGCAGTGTATTAGACTTGATAAAATATAGTATAGATGTCCTGTTATTACTTACTGCCAACTACTTAGTTGGCAGAAGTAGCTGCTATTCAAGAGAAATCTTCAGTGAGACAGCATTAAGGGCATTAAGTTTTTTGTGTTTTGGGTTTTTTTGACATTTTTTAAGAAGCATCCTCTGCTTAGCTACTTTCCCAAAGCTTTCTCCTTTCTCAATCCTAGTGACATGTGTGCTATGCATCATTCTAGCTCCAGTTACCCAGATGTTTAAATTAGTTTGACCATGCTGCTTCCTCACAGGCAGGATCAAACCCCAGTTGACCCCTCTTAGGAGTATCTAGGAGCTGATCTAGAATCAGGGTACTGCCTGTGGAAGTTGAGGATATTTACCCACTAGAATCAACGACTTTCTTTCAGAAAGGTTATCTTACTATGGATCTCACTAAACAAGCATGTTTTTGTAGCCTGGTATACCCAATGTGGTTGCATTAAAATAGAGGATACCAGAGCTTACACAGAGAAGACCCTTTTCTTGCTCATTAGAACCAAGGGCAATTTGGAGCTTTCCTAAAAATCCTCAGAGATGGTGACTATCAAAAGTGTCAGTGAGTGCTTGCTTTTCAATGCCCTCTCACTGAAGACTTCTCTTGAATAGCAGCTGCTTCTGCCAACTAATAACAACAGGACATCTATACTACATTTTATCAATTCTAATACACTGCAAAAAAAATTTATAAAAACTACTGGTGCGTACTGGGCATGGTGGCACATGCCTGTAGTCCCAGCTACTTGGGAGGCTGAGGTAGGAGGACTGGTTGAGCCCCAGAGGTCAAGGCTGCAGTGAGTCATGACTGCACCACTGCACTCCAGCCTAGGTGACAGAGCAAGACCCTGTCTCAAAAAAATAAACATGTTGTCATTGGCACATTAAGTGCCACAGAATTTCAGCACAATGCAGAGTTCACACTGGTTAGAACAATTCAGAGGTGAAATCCCAAAAGAACAAAATTCTTTTGATAACTAACCTCCACACATTGGCCTAAAAACTCACCTTCTTACACCAATCCAAGCTAAGTGGATAGATCTGAGCTTCAAAACCTAAAGTAACTGTTACACATCAGAAGCAATTTTAGAAGTTTTCTTTCCCATATAAGCTGGTTCACAAGATACTATTACCTGTTTTTATTAATTCTTTAATCAGATCTTCCTTCATCTTGATGTTAATTGTAAGTTCTCTCATTTTTTGTTTAGCTTCAGTAAGTATGCGTTCTGAATTCTTTAATTTTTGCAAATTCAATTCTTGACTCTCCTGGAGATAATCAATCTTTAAATCTTAAAAAAAAAAAAAAACACATAGAAATAAAACTATCTGCTGGTAAAATATTCAACAGAAGTAGAGTTAAAAAAAGAAAAGCAGACACAAAAGCAATTTAGAGGTGGCAGTGGAAGAGACAAAAAAGAAGGGAAGGAAAAAGGGGAAAAATTACACAGCAATTGGGACTCTAGCATTACAGCTTATAGTAAGAGTTTTTATTTTCTTACAAATTAATACATATATATATATTTTTCATAATATTCCATAGATTCAGACGCACAGTTTCTCATTGCCTTTCACATGAGTTATTTGAGACAGGTGTAAAATTTCCAGATGGACAGAGGGGTGAATTTGTTTCCTATCAACTTCTACTTTTATGGTAATTGGAGAATGCAGACTATACCAGGCTACTCCGAGTGTGGTCTAGCACTGTTTGTTACTGCCTGCACCAGAATGTAAATCAACTATGTCACTAGGTATACTGCTGTAGTTCAGGTGACATTTTTTTCATAGCCAGACTTTCTCAAGGAAGAAACTAGTGTAAGCTCATTTACATTCCAACTTAAGTTTTTTTCCTGGTTGCAGAGCAGTAACAAACAGCTCAAGCATGGCTGCTTGAGTAGCATTTACCTTTATTATTTCCACATTTTTATATTTATTTTAGTTATACTTAAATTTTTGGCTCATAAAGCCACGTGTAGGTTCTTAAAGAGATGCTCTACATTTTCAAAGTGTAGCACTTACGTTATTTATATTCCCGATTCCCTTATTTTTTGTGGGTCAATCACACATTGACCAAGAGAGATGAGTTAATAAAATCTACTACTACCGGCTGGGCACAGTGGCTCATGCCTGTAATCCCAGCACTTTGGGAGGTCAAGGTATGCAGATCACAAGGTCAGAAGTTTGAGACCAGCCTGGCCAACACAGTGAAACCCCATCTCTACTAAAAACACAAAAATTAACTGGGTGTGGCGGCACACACCTGTAGTCCCAGCTACTTGGGAGGCTGAGGCAGGAGAATTGCTTGAACCTGGGAGGTGGAGGCTGCAGTGAGCCGACACCACACCACTGCACTCCAGCCTGGGTGACAGAGAGAGACTTCATCTAAAAAAAAAAAAAAAGTTGTGAAAACTATAGGTGATTTTTTTTTTTTTTTGAGGTAGGGTCTTGCTCTGTTGCCTAGACTAGAGTGCAGCGGTGTGATCTCGGCTCACAATAGCCTCGAACTCCTGGGCTCAAGCGATTCTCCCACCTCAGCCTCCCTCCTGAGTAGGTACGCACCACCACGCTCAGCTAATTTTCTGTAGAGAGACGATCTCACTGTGTTGCTCAGGCTGGCCTCAAACTTCTGGCCTTAAGCAATTCTCCCGTTTCAGCCTCTTAAAGCACTGGGATTATAGGCATAAGCTACTATATGTGGCTCGTAAACGTTTTTGATGTTGTTATTGATGCATAAAAATTCTTAGCAGTTGTGTACTAAAACATTACCAGCACCCAGTACACTAATTGGGCTCTAATGCCAAATACATAATTGATGTTAGGCACAAGTCCCAGTGAAGGAGTAGACACCTAGTACAATTACTTATACTGTACTTTAACATCATTAGGAATACAAAGCGTATCAATTGAAGTCTGAATATAAAAATCCTTATTCTGAGGGAGTAAGCCTAGATCTCTAGCCATAATTAATTGATAGAAAATCTTTTTTATTAAGGAGTAAAAGAGGTAAAACAGAGAACATAAAAGAAGTTCTACCAACCAGAAAAGCATTTGTACCAAGTTCTGGTCTTTGAGAATTCCTGGATGTTTCTTAGAAACTATCAACTGAGGAAAAAGATAAGTGTCCTATAACCATTAGGTCTACATTATTTAAGAAAATCTATGTACCTTCATTCTCCAAATTTGACTTTTGTGTTTCATCCTGAGTATCATTCAGTTCAACAAGGGAACAAACAGAGTCTGGCTTCTGAATCCACGAACGACTTCTACATCTAAAAAAAAAAAATCAGAAAGTTAACTCATTTGTTAGCGTTTTCTAATCTGCCCTCAAATTAGTTTCCCCAGAAAGTGACAGTAATGTTAAAAAATTATTAATTACATTTAAAAACAGAATGTCACTAATATTGCTTAAAATAAAAGGATGCCCCCCCCACCCATGTTGAATCAGTAGAAAAGTCATGTTTGTTGCCACCGTGGCAGCAGAATAAGGAAATCAAAAAAAAAAAAAAAAAAAAAATTCCCTCTGAAAATTAGAATCTAATTATTATAAAAGCTCTAAAAGCAAAATTATTTTTCAGTTATAAGACTGATGATTTGTGTTCAAATACTATTTTCATAACACATTAGATGATAGTACATTTAGCAAAAGTTACCTACTCTTATATTAAACATAAAAGATATACTCCAATGGAAAAAACCTGTACTTCTATATTTATTGCAGCATATAATTATAAATATTTATTAAATCAGTGTATATTTAACATACCTAGTTCCAGATTTCTCTTGGCCTTCCGATTCTTCATCATCACTGTTATCAGAAAATTGGCAGTGGAGGACCTCATCTTGTTCTTCTATGTGACCCAACAGCATCTGACTTCGTGTTCGAAACCCAGCAAATATTCGATCCAGAGAGTACACAGGCGGACTTGTGTGGACCTTCCGAGTGATTCCCCCACCCAACAACAAAAAAGTGATATTTTAAAAGTCTAATTTTATCCTATTATTCTCAATGCTGTTAAAGCAGTTATTAGGTTGGCACTCTTAAAATAGCCAATCACTGGAAAATGCTCCCCTCAAACAAAAGTCAAAATTAATTTAACGATACTTTGTGCCTCACAGACAAATACTTCTTTCAGAGTATACACAGCTCCTCCTCTTCTGGACAACTCTTCTATCTTCACTTATGGAAAATAGTATTCAAAAGTGAAATGAAAAGCACGCATGGAAAACATTCCAGCTCTTAAACACAGCACAGACACACCCCAACAAATGTGCCCGCTTCCCCATCTTCCCAGTTCAGAACACCTGGAGAACTGTGGTGCTCCAATCCAAATCCCGCCACAGGAAGAAACCCAGAGCCATCTCCACTCCCTCTGCCAGGGCAATATTCCTAATTTGAATACCACAATGTATATACTTATTCTTTATATATGGTGGTTAGATATAGCTGAATTAAGGCTCTAGGAAAAATATTTAATATATGTCATAGGACAAATAAAATTGTATGGCTAGCCTGGGAATTTTCTATAGTATAACATTCTTCTATTGGAAATGCACTTTAAATTCTCAAAAAAAAAAAAAAATGACCTTGGAAAACAACAACAACAAATTAGAAATTGCCTTTATACCTTTGTTCTGGTTTCTATTACAAAATATTTCCTTTTCATCACCTCTGTAACCAAACCTCGAGATGACTTCTCACAAAAGGCAATAAAATCTTAGAGGAGACAGTCCATTTATCAATATAAATTATTATAAGCTGTTAAATTGTAACATATAGTGGAATATGAGTATCACACGGTGTTTAGGATTCAATCACTTGACTACAGGCCCCCGTCATGTATTCTTTCCTAAAAAATCCTACCTGATTCTGAAAATCATCTTATATCTGATTTTTGTGCTTCTGCTGTCAGTCACCTAATTAGATCATCTGTCACATCGGCATCATGATAGACAGGGGTAAAGTTTTTCAGGTGGCCTCCCAATGGGAAATGAGGGAGGGGAATTATTTAAGGAAGAACCAACTCAACAAGTACTGATCTAACGAGTACAACATACTAGACATGGCTATTTTATCCCATAACTGGCAGGCATCTAGTTTTCTCTTCTGAGAGTGTGGGAATTATTTAAGGAGCAAATAATAAAATCTTTTGTTCAGAAACTTCATTCTCTGGGATTGTAATTTCCTTTTAAAATTTCTTTTTACAAAGAAAACCAAATGTCCAGAGCTATTATAGTATTCATAC